AACCCTCTGAGTGCGAATTTGACGCTAAATACGATTAAGCAGACAATCGGGTGGACGGATTGGGCGGTGGCGGCTATCGTGCCCGGAATTGTTTCACTGATTGTGGTGCCAGCGTTGTTGTATGTGATTTACCCGCCGACTGTGAAGAGCAGCCCTGATGCGCCAAAGCTGGCGAAGGAAAAGTTGCAGAAGATGGGGCCGATGACCAAGAATGAGATCATTATGTCTGGGACACTGCTGTTGACGGTAATTGATTCTTGCTCCTCTGTCACTATGAAGTGCTTTCATTTATATATCATCATTTCATTGAAACGTGGGTATTTTTGTAGTACTTGCTATCTTTATATCTCTGCGTCAACTTATTAGTTTAAGTGTCCAGTATTTCAAGCATCCATTATAAGACTTTTGTTGGACTATTAGAAAAAATTGCATTTGAATTGTACATAAACAACTGCCTTATTTTATCGTTTTAGGATGAAGCGCATCTCTTGATCTAGTCTTAGAAACTTTAACTTGTTTCCACAAGAACATAGACTCAATTTCTTACACTAGTTAATATGATAACATGAGAAATCTACCATCTATGATGAAGTGCTTATACTAACTATACAATTTTGTACTGTTTAGTTGAGGATTAGAAGGTTATGTTGGGGAAGAGATTGAGCCCAATTGGGAATTTATGAACATTGAACAGAGATTGATAATCCCATAAAAACCAAAAGCTTAAACTATTAGGTATAACCAACTTTCTATTCTTACTTTCTTAACTTCCCCAAAGTGAGATTATAGTTACGCATGAAATTCCCGACAATCTCCCTCTTCATATGTGAGAATTGCTCAATCATCCATATGAACCATGAGCCTACCATTGACGTTGTCATATCTCTACTAGCATCAACACCCGTAGGATATCCCGCTACCTATTAACTGAACCAGTCAATTATCACTCATACAAACGATCTCAAGCACTATCTATCATGGTGAGTTAATTCAACTTACTAGTTTAAGCGTTCAATATATCAAGCATCCATTATAGGACTTTTGTCAGAAGATTAAAAAAATTGCATTTGAATTGTATATAAACATGAAACAACTTAATTTTTTCTAAGGTTACAGAAAGCGCTAGGCGGCCTAGGCGTTAGACCCGACGCTTAGAGCCTAGGCATCTAGCCGGAAGCCTAGGCGTTTTCCTATTTTTTAGTTTTTAATTATAATCACTGGTAGTAAATGCCAATGTTATAGAAAGCTTAGGTGCTGGATTGACACTTAGGTAAATTTCTTGAGTTGTGGTAGAGGATGTTTTGTCCAAGGTCGAGAGAGGTAGATGAGGTGTTCATAGTTGGAGTTGAAGAAAGTTGGAGGATGTGGAGGCTGCAATGGAAGAAATCATGATCAATGCCTAAAGAGTGCAATCCATGTAGACATACCACGCTCTCCTAGGCGCTCCCAAAATATAGGTGGGCAACCTAGGTACCACCTAGGCGGCTAGATAGGCGGCCAAGCTACCGCGTAGGTTTAGGCGTACGCCTAGGTGACCTAGGTGGAGGATTTTTAAAACATTGATTTTTTTTCTAATATTGACTCAACTTCTTACGCTAGTTAACATGATAATATGAGAAGTCTACTATCCATGACAAAATGCTCAAGTTACCAGCTATACAATTTTGTATTGTTTAATTGATGATTAGAAGGTTATGGCAGGGGATATATTGAGTCCAATTGGGAATTTGTGGACATTGTATAGATATTGATTATCCAATTAAACTAAAATCTTAAATTATTAGGTATAATCTAACCTTCTATTTAACCTTACTTTCCTAACTTTTCAAAGTGCGACTATAGTTACACATGAAATTCCTGACAATCTCCCTCTTCATTTGTGAGATTGCTCAATCATCCATGTGAACCATAAGCCTTCCACTGATGCTATCATATCGCAACCAACATCAACACTTGCAGGATCTTCCACTACATGTGAACTGAACCAGTCAATTATCACTCATACGGACATTCTCAAGCACCATCTATCATTGTGAGTTAATCTAACCTTTGGTGTAATCCACTTACCATGCAACAAAGTGATTATTCACCTCCTTAGTCCCCATGTAGGCTAACTAGATCTTAGTCCATCTGACTTGGCTACACTAAAAAACAACATGGAATGCTAACCATCCTAGAATCTTTCACCATTTGGGAACTAGTAGAATAACCTGATCTCGGTCATTCTTTCACCTTCGAGGTTCACCTTGAACTCATTCTTTATTGGGCCACAACTTACGCTCTGATACCATTTGTGAGGTGGGAGGGGGAGATTGAGCTAGATCGGAGTTATTATGCCTTAAATAGAGGTTGAAACTGGATTACTC